TTCAATACACACCCTTGCCTACGATCTTTACGCATTCATTCCTTTACTTGACATAAAGTTGCTTAGAATGGAAGCTGAAGATCTTTGCTATAGCGTCCATGTGTCACAATGCCAATTTGTTCCTGTCCACAGAGATCTCTCTGGACCCAAACCCACTCTCCTCTTCCCACCACAGCCCCACAGCTGCACCAGTTCAGCATTTCTGGGGGAGGCAGGAGAGCAGCTTTCTGGAACACTCAGCTCAGACAACACCCTGTGCACCAACACTTTCCTCCTTCTCAGATGGAATCACACTGCTTCCAGCACATCAGAACCATCAGGCTGCTCCTGCTTCATCCCCCAGGTCTGAGGCTCTGCAAAGTTGAGTGCTAGCAGCTAGACCAACCCAGACACAATTAGAACAACTTAAAGTAATCCAGCAGTACACTGAAAAAGGGAGAGAGCAGAGAAAAGACGGGGAACCTCCATTAACGAAGGATCTTCTTGCTACCAGCAACAGAAGGTGAAGGAACATGCTTGTTCCTCACTACCTCATCACAATCCAAATCCTGCAGGCCCATGGGTGGAGCAATCCATTACCTGCTGGCAGGAAGCAGGGCAGGCAGGAGCAGAACACTGCCTGTACAGCCCTCCCTTGTCCTGCAGGCACCACCCAGCCGCTCATGAGGACGGGTAAGGGGATGCCAAATGACATCATCCAGTTCAGATGAGACAAGCCAAGAATAGAGCGCTTCAGCTCCAGAGGTCCTCGAGTTTTAAATTCAGAACAAGAAGGAAAAACAAGCAAGACAACTGTCATCAGCCCTTCTGCACCTCCAGGGCTACCACCACACAACAGCCCTGCTGGCCAAGCCCCAAACACCAAAGGGCTCTTGGAGAGGACTGCCTGATAGCTTTACAGTCTCCATGCACCAGAGGCATCTGCAGAGGGCTCAGCAGCTACATTCAGCATCACAGCCTCCACCATTGACTTCCAAGAGCTATTTTCTGTTCCATCCACACCTAGCTGTCGTGCTTGGCCAACCATGGGAGCCCCAAATGGTCATCAATGAAGCTTAGCAACAAAGACTTAAGAGCTCAAAGAGAAACTTTAAAAGCTTGGGCTGCTGAAGGCTGGTCAGTGAGCACAGTTAACGTGCGCAATGCCCTGCTGAACTTGTGCAGGTAGTCAGCGCTGTGCCCCATGCACAGCCCACCACCACAACCTCCTGAGATGCTTTTTAACCAAAGCCAACACCGCCCACAAACCACTGCCAGGCCAGGAGAGCAGCAGAACAGCAGGCTGTGATCAGAGCCATGCCCTCTGACCCCAGGGCCCTCCAGGAGAGGCACGTCCCACTCCCAGCACACCAGACCTGCAGCATGCCTGAGATTTCTCTGGAAGAGTCAGGAAGGGGCAAGAAGCAGTTTAAGGAGAGCCTTGGTTTGGGTGCTTAAGTAGCCCTAAGAGAACCTCGCTGAGGTGCTTGGGTCTATTCTGCTCAGGCTGCCACTGCTCCAGGCCCAGAGCACAGACAGCCAAGCAGTTTGGGCCATGGGACATGCTCAGACTGCAGAAGGGAGAGCAGTGCCCACTTGGGATGCTTCTCCAGGCCCCCCAGTGAACCCTTCATGATGCTGGAAATGATTTCCCCAAAGCTTTCTATCACTCTCCAGGAGGAGCTGCAAAGGCAGCTCATAGTCCTTACTTTGCACCTGCCTTCCTGGATGGTCGCTCAGCACTCCTCCAGGAGTTGTCTTTCCACCTCACCCTTCTCTTCCTGCTCCCAGGACTTGCAGGATGACAGCTGGTGAGCAGCCACGGCAGAAGCCTGCACAGGTTGTCCTGCAGTTCTCCACCCTTGGTCTCCTCCTCCACCCACCACAGTCACTCACTGCATCAAGGCACGCTGTGTGCATAATGTGCTGCTGCCCAGGCTCTATCTCCAACACTCCTCCACACCCAGCACTGCAGCTGATGCTCTGCACCCACAGCTTGGGTCCCCAGAGCCAGGCAACCACACACTCCTCTCACAGGGGACCTTCAGGTGAGCTGAAGGATTCTGTGCGCAGCCCCATCACTATACATATCTGGATGCAACGTGATAATCCTCTCCCCATTCTTTTCAGTTGTCTCCTTTCTGACAGAAGTCACACCACGCACCTTCTGTGGTCACCTGCGTGCTGCCCATAAAGGATGTAAGAGCCACAGGGATCCCAGCATAAGGATAGCAAAACTTTTAGCAGAGCCAAAGCCAAAAAGGCTTTAACCAAGGGCCAGCACTGGGCAGAAGGAAGATGGCAGTGCTGCTGGCACCTTATAAACCAGCAGCACGCTTGGCAGCCAAGCACAGCCACTGCCCTGGGGACCTGCAGGGACTAGGAGCAGCTCAGGCACACAAGAGGGCTGATCTCATCCCTGCATGCAGGGCATGCAAGGGACGTGGTCAAGGTCGCACACGTGCAAGGCCAGCACGTGGCCCAGCAACATCTCCCCTCTGATTTCTGGTACTTGTGGCTACCACCTGCAGCTAAAATTTACACAGGAGAAACTATTGTGACCCAGCCCATTGCTGCAGTGAGAAGCATTTGGTGATTTAGCACACAATGAGAGCCCCAGCACACTGCTTTCTGTATATAAAAGCATCACAACCAGCCATTCAGCAATGAGGCGGCCAAATGGCACGGCTGGATGCTGCGCAGTGACCCACCAGGTTACCACAACACCACAATGGTGACATCAAGCTGCAGAAAAATCAGCCTCGAATGCAGATAATGACCACACCTGACTCAAGGGAAGCAGCTCAGCATTTCAAAGCACCGTGCCAAGGAAGCAAGCAGACAGCAAGCTCTCAGTGCAGGAGGCAGCCCTGCTCCTGCATTACCTTGGCTGGATGCAGCCTGCACGCTCTCTGCTACCACCTGGGTGCAATGCAGCTCACACCAGCGCATGACATCACCGCGCGTTGCTACGGAAATGAGTGCGAGGTCACAAGCCTCCTGCACACCCAGCGCTGGGGGATGGGTAGGATCAGGGATAACCGAGTGTGACATGCCCAGTGCCGTGGGACTGAGACGGAGTTTGGGCAGCGCCGTGCAGAAATTAGGAACAAAGCTCTCTGTCTTTTGTCTGCTGGGGGGGGAGGCGGCGGTGCTCCCGCTGGGAGTCATTTTCTTACGGCCGAACAACAAGGAGACTGATAAGCAGCATTAAGCTCGGTTACTGTTTCACCAGGGCCGGGGAGGACTGAAAGGAAAAATGCAAATACAGTCTCTAACGACAACGTCGGGTTAGCGGCCGATCGCCGGTAAGCAGGCTGGGGAAATTCACAGGGCAGAAATACGGCCACCAGCCCCTGCGTTAAGTCCACAGGCATCCCTGCCGGCTTTGTGCTAATGGCCGCGTGATCCATGTGCGGCGAGCTGCCGTGGCTGCTCACACAGCAGGCTCTGCCTTAAAATGGAGAGATGCCGCTATCGGAAAATAGTCTAAAATCCATAGTGCAGCAGTGGAATAGCCCAGCTGCTCTAATATGCTATTATCTGGTTTCGATTATCCATATTTCATTTCTTGAAAAGACATCTCCTCCCTCCCCGCTCTGGGGCTGTGACGATTTTGTCTGCTTGATAAATGCAAGGTTATTGTCAAAATGGTGCAACACAGCAAACAGGGCTGCATCCAGCAGACTGCGACACTCCTAGATCAGCATTCCCTCCTCATCAGCAAGGGAGGACACCCCAGCTCCTCTTAAAGGTTCAGACCTGACTAAGGAGACAAACATAAAGAACAGTTTTCCCCTTTAAAGCACCCCCTCCCTCCCTCCACCCAGTCTAGCCTCTCTGCAATATGACAAATGCAGAATCTTCTGGAATGACTTGATCCTGCCTCCCACGATTGCTTTGTTTGCAAGATCAGATCAGAGATGTTTTTTTTTTTTTTTTCTTACTTCTTACATTGTCAAAATGTCAGCATTCAAGGGGAACGTTTGGTGTCACAAATCAGATCAGCCTGCTATATGCAGAGTCTTTATTTTAAGAGCATGAAATGAATACAACATGACTCAATTCATAAATCTCGAAACAAGTGCAGCAAAAAGAAATAGAATAAATCAGAGCCCTGGCAGCTAAAGGCTCAGCTCCGCAGGGTCAGGGGCACAGCAGCCACACTGGGGAAGGGATGAGCAGCAGCACGGGGGCCAATGGGGCAGCAATGCCCCACAGCCTCACCCCATAGGGCTGGGAGAGGGGGAAGCAGGGGCTGTGCCCACCCCATGGGCAGCTCCCATAGTAGGGCATGGGCACGGCAAAGGGCTGAGCAAGGGGCATGCTGGAGGGCAACGGAATGGGGGCTGGGGGGCACACATTAGGGCAAGGGATAAGAGCTTGTGCACAGCACAATGGTTGGAGTACAGGATGGGGGTTGGGGCAGAGGGGACACAGATGAGGGCTGGGGACACGGTTTGGGGGCAGAGGTGGCACAAATGGGGCACATCACCATAGATGGGGAATGGGATGGGGGACACAGATTGGGTTGAGGGATAAGAGAACAAAGATAGGGCACGGCACAGAGTGGAAGAGCAAAGGGAAGGGGTGGGGGATGGGGAACACAGTCCGGGCTAAGGATGGGGATCAGGGCAGCGGGGAGGGGGTACAAATGGGGCAGAGCCCATATCGGACGAGAAAGGAAACAGGGGACACAGATACGGCGCAGCACGCGGTGAACGAGACAGGGGATGGCGATCACAGGGAAAGGGGATCACGGCGGGGGGTGACAGAGCTGAAACACGATGCAGAACGGAGGAGACAGAGCTGGGGGCCGGGACAGAGGACACGCGTAGGGCACAGCACGAGAACGGCACGAACAGAACGGCACGGGGCGGCGCGGCGGAGCCAGCGCGGAGCTCCGGGCTCAGGGCCCGCAGCCAGAACCGCCCCGGGCACCGGCACAGCCCAGCCCGAGCCCGAGGGACGGCGCGGGGAGACGGCAGGGAACGGAGGAGAGGAGGGGAACGGACACTCACGTTCTTCATGGCGGCCGCCATGTCGTCGTAGCGCTCGGCTTGCTCGGCCAGCCGGGCCTTCTGCACCAGCTGCTCGCGGTCCACCATCTTCGCGGGGCCGGGAGGGGAAAGGGCGCGGAGACTGCGGGCTGCGGGAGGAGGAGGAAAGAGGAGGAGGAGGAGGAAGGAGGAGGAGGAGGCGGCGGCTCCTGGCGCTGCTGCGGCGGTGACGGCGGCGGCGGCGGCGGCTGCACCCGGAGCTGTGCGCGCGCCGCGGGCCACCACAACCCCCCTGCGGCCCCGCCCCGCCCCGCCCTGCGCCGCCCCGCCCCCACGCGCGGGGCACGCCGGGATTCGTAGTCCTCCTCCTCGCGGCCCTTTTCGCGCCGCTCTCCCTCTCCGGACTCCATTTCCCGGCGCACCCCGCGCGCCGCCGCGGCCCCGCCCGCCGCGCGACACAAGATGGCCTCCCCCCCCCCCCCCCCCCCCCCCCCGTGGCCCGCCCTGCCGGGAGCGGCGCCCCGCTGCTGATTCACCGCCCGCAGCGCCCTCCGCCCGCACGGCGCCTCGGCGCGGCCCGCAGAGGCCTCGTAGCGGCCGCAGCCTCTGTCCCCGCGCCTGGGTTCTCGTGGCTCCCAGCCTGGAGCCCCGGCCCCGCGTGTTCCCCTCCGTCCATCCTCTCCACCAGTCAAGCAGAAATGCCCGCAGAACTCCCGTCTGAAACCCGGAGGGAGCCCTTCCTCAGAGCCCTGCTTAGGGGGGCTCATAGCCCTTCCCAGTGCCACCCTGCATGTGGATGCGACTGCTGTCTGTGGAGACATGGCCACTGCCCGCGGGGATGTGACCACTGTATGGAGATGCAGCCACCATCCGTGCAGACATGCCCTCCATCCGTGCAGACATGACCTCCATCCATGGAGCTGTGGCCACCACCCGCAGAGCCGTGGCTCCCATGCAGCTGTTGCCTGACACTGTGCCCATCCTGCTGCTGATCCCTGGGCCTGCAGCTTTCCCTCTGCAATAGGAGCCCTCCTGGCCCTGTGCAGGCACTGGTGGGCAGAGATACCACTGGTGCTGGACCTGAAAGCACCCATTGTGCCATGTTCTGTTTATCAGGCAGTGCCTGCAGACAACAGCCATGTATTCCTCTGTTAGGATAATGACACATTCATCCTCCCAGCTCGGTCGCTGGGGATAACATTGGAGCAAATAAAGCACTGAAGGTGGCATCCCCTGTGGTATTTCAGCTCAGAGCTGTTCAGAAACGCCATCAGGGCCCACTGGGGCTGCCCACTATGATGGGCCCAGGTCTGCAGCCTGGCCCTGGGGAGCACCGTGTGCATGGAAGGCTTTTCTTGTGCATGGATCTGTGGGCCTCGTAGAGATGAGTGCCTCCTCACCTGACGCTCCTCCAGCAGTGCACACAAATGCAGCAGACTCTCAACTGGCCCTAATGGTCACTGCTCTCCTATTTATGGGGACTGTGTGTTCGCCCCAGATCGAGCGAGTGCTGATTTATTCCTGTCAGTGCACCCCAGCAATGAGTACTTTTCACAACGCAGGCAATCCTTTCCCATCACAAGTCAGGATGCGATATCCATCATGCTGTAAATTCTTCAGAGTGGCCATAATATATATCTGCAGTGTATGTCTCTGCAGCTCTCCTGGTGCCCCATCCCACCAGGAACTTACAGAGACCCAGAGGATGTAGGTCTGTTCTGCAGATGTCCCTGAAAAACCCAATAACCCTCATTCCACCCACAGCATTAAAATAGCTCTGGAGCACTCGGATGTGCCACTTTGTTAATTCCCGTGGCCTGGAAGACAAGTTCTCCTTGCGTTCTCTTCCCTTCCTTGCTGTGTGCTGCAAATGCCTTCTGACACTGTGAGGGAAAGCAGTAAATCCTCTCTGACTCGGATTCTCACTTCAGGCTGCACCAAAAAGTTATCCTGAGCTCAGCCCTGCTGAGTGCAGGGTCATAGGGGTGGTGGCATTTGTGAATTGAGGCTGAATATGAGCAGCTGGGTCAGGGCCTGCGGTGGATGTGCGATGCCCGGTGGAGGCAGAAAGGCAGCAGGGAGACAGAGCATGGGATCAGAGGGATGGGGAAGAGGTGGGGTGCCTGGGATGGAGGTGGATGGAGGATGGAGGTACAGATGGAGGTGAGGATGGAGAGGGAGGATGGAGCAGGAGGATGGAAAATGGAGGTGGACGATGGAGGTGGAGGGTGGATGGAGCATGGAGGTGGAGGATGATGGGGACCCAAGGGGGCACAGGGTGTAGGAGCAGCCCCAGACCCTGTGGGGGTGCAGGGACCCAGCTGGCACACCAGCTCCCCGCAAGGTGTTAATAATTAAGCAGGCACACGGGGCTCGGATGTCAGCTCTTATTTAAGGAGCCGATATAAATACTGCCCAGACAGCGCTTATGGAGCACCTAAAAAAAGCCCTGCCTGTCTCAGTCCCTCCAGAAGCACCCCGAGCTCCGCAGGGCTGGTGGGCAGCACCAGGCAGGATGAACACCAGGTCCTTCAGCCCCCAGGGCACTGCCTGAGAGGTGACAGTACATGGAGACGATCCCCCCAGCACCCACCTGTGCCTCAGGTTCCCTTTGTCATGCAGACCTGCTTTTGTCCTGCCAGGAGGCTTACCATCACCCCGTGCAGGGCTGCAGTCTGTTCTGGCACTGTGCCCCCAGAGCCCCGCCATCCCCCTGCTCATACACACCTGGGGACACCTCTCCTGCAGCACTGCAGATGTCCCCATGCAGAGGGGTGTGAAGGGTCCTGTGGGGGTCCCAGAGCTGCCCCATCTCTATTGGGGGACAAGGCCAGGGTGACTCACAGAACAGCACAGAGACGGACAGGACCCGGGGTGTAGTTGGGCCCCAATCACTTTCACAGCATCACTCCATAGGCAGAGCCCCATCCTCGTCGTCGTCCCCCCCCCCGGCCCCTCCATGCTGTGGGCTGGGAAAGGACGGGGCTGTCACATCCGTCCCCATCAGAGGCTGCAGGCGAGCTGCTTGCTGCAGTCTGGCTGTGCGTCTCTGCAGCGTGACTCAGCACAGCCTCGCCCTGCACTCAGCCCCCCCGGCCCTACGCCCCTCACTGGGGGCACACACACACCCCATTTTGGTGGTACCCTCCCCATCGCCTGCCCTACACCCAGGGCCAGCCCCTGCCCCACAAACCCCCTCCCCAAGAGCTGCACTGCTCTTCTTGCTGCAGCTCTCAGCCTCTTGCAGGCTTTAGGAGAAAGGATTTTTTACTTTTTTTTTTTTTTATCCACCGGGGAGGATGGGAGTGAATGATGCTGGGAGCACACGGGAAAATCTGGGGATTTTTAAAGCATCGTGGGGTTGGTTGCCCGTTTTGGTGTCTGGTGGGCACAATGTGTTTCCCCTCTTTCTGTGACCCTGCATGGGGGGGGGGGGGGGCTATAAAAAAGCAGCCAACCCCCAGGAAAGGGGCTGAGTCTGTCCCCTTGTCCCCACGTCCCCATGCACAGAGCCTCATTGCAGGGCAGGAGCTGTGCAGCGGGCCGTGACAGCCGCACGTGGCACGTCCCCACCCCGGGAACAAAGCACAATGCAGCGAGAAGAGTGCCCGGCCTGACCCTGACAGCAGCTGTCACCCGCAGGGAGAGCCTGGCGGGTGTCCCTGGTGAAGGTGACAAAAGGGGACAGCCCGCTGGGGACAAGGACAGCGGCTCGGAGGGGCTGATCCTGCGCAGGAGGAGCAGGGCATGCGGCCGGCCCCAAAGCTGAGCCAAAATAGGGGCCCCTGCGTGGGGTCAGGAGGGGAACGTGGGGCTGGGAAGGTTGCTGCCGCGCTTCTCCCCAAGGGAAGGCGGTGATGGTGTGGGCTGTAGGACGGCTGCGAGCCGGATTTTGCCGGCGCTCGGCAGCCCACGTGGGACTGCTCTGCCATGGGGGAGAGAGAAAATAAAACAACGGCAAGAGAAGGGATGATGGATGAGATCTGCAAATGTGGGAGGGAGTCCTTGAGGTGGCAGGGAGGGGGAGCAGCACCAACCTCGTGCAGCCCCCCACCAAACGCAGGGGGTGCAGCCGCCCCGCAGCCCCCCCTTGGCCGCTCTGCCTTCAGCAGCGTGCTAATTGCACCAGTGACTTTGCAGTTCCCAAAATAGCAGCTGGCTGCGCCGGGCTGACGTCACTGTGAGACGTGGGGAAGGAGGACGGCACGGGCGGGGGGCCCGGCAAGGATCACGGTGATGCCTGCATCCCGCACCCACCCCACATCGGCAGTGCGGTGCCGTGGTACAGCCACTGCTGGGGAAACAGGCAGGCGGTGTGATAGGGGCATGGAGAGCAGCCCAAGGTGACCCAGGAGGTGTGGGCACAGGGATGCTCGCTGGGTCCCACTGTGACTCATCCAAGCTCCTCTGGTTACAGGTGCACGGATTGCCTTAGGGGGGCATGGGAGCACCCTGGTGCAATGCATCCTCCACTTCATACAGCATCCAGAGTGGTCTTGTGCTGGTCCCCAGTCGGACCTCCGTCCCTCCCAGCACCACCCTGAGCAGTGATCCCAATAGCAGCCCCACTCAGCATCCCTGCCCTGGGTCCCCATCCCTGCCCTGGGTCCCCATTCCATGTCCTGCGTCCCCATCCCCACCCCAGGGGGCTCCCAGCCTCATGCAGCTCTCGAGGTGCCCCCATTCCCAGCGAGGAATTATTCTGGAACGCGACAAAATCATTAAAGCCTCTTCCATTTCCCCTTGCTCATTTGTGCTCCTTCAGCCTGGATTAATGGGTCTCCTCTCCCCAGCACAGACTCATTCCTTATTCCTAATAGGCCATAAATCCAAGCCCCAAAATAACCCCAGCTTTTTGCCGGGGCCTCGTGAAATATTCATTCTCTTCCCCCACCGGCCTCTGTGCTGTCCCCTCTTTGGGGATGGAAGGAGGAACGGATCGATGGCATCGACCCATGCGGAGCCACAGCTGCTGCGGGCGGGGGGAAAGCAGCTAATGCAGCAGGAAGGGAGGAAGGAGCCCTCTGTCCCTGTAGATGCTGCTGGGGGGTAAACCCTGTGGCCATCCCCCAGCTGGTGTGGCTGCATCCCTCCTGCTGTCACCCAGCTGTCCTGCATGGGGAAGGAGACAGGAGGGAGGGGATCCGGCATCCAGACTTTGCATCCCATCGTGCTGCTGGGGGAACGCTTCCGTGCCTCAGTTTCCCAATGCACCGAGAGCAGCGTGCTCTGCAGCAGGGCACATTGCTGCAGTTAACCTGTCATAGGGACTCCGATGCAGAAAACACTTCTGGACTGGGGATGCAGCCTCCCTGCCCACCTCCACCCCCTGCAGAAGGGTCCCTTCTGCTCCCCCGCCCTCAGTGAGCGGCGCTGCTGAATTTATGGCTGTCAGCACTGCAGCTGCACACCAGCAATCCGCCCACTCCAGCAGCAAACCCGCAGCCTGCAGGGCTGCCAAAGAGCCGGGAGCAGAGCCAGAGCCAACCCTGTTCCCTACGGCCAGAAGGATCTGAGCAGGGTGTAAATCAGCACTGCTCCGGGCATGGATTTGCTCTCACTGAGCCCTACAGGGAGGGATGCAGAGACACACGCTTGAAAAGGGGATTTATTTATTCACAAAACATGTAAGAAAGCTATTATTAACAAAAGAATTGTACAAACATAGAAACGGGAGGAGGGAGACCCTGGGACCCTCGGCGTGAAGCAAACCCCACCTGGCCAATGCACCCCTCGAGCAGACCTGAAGGGGTGGTTCTCCTGCTCAGGTGGAAACAGCGCTCCGTCACAGAACATTGCAGAACACAGCACCTCACGCTGCAGAGGAGCCATGCATGCACTTCCATGGGCTCTGCAGGGACAAAGAAGCTTTGCTGCAAAGAGCTGCTGGGTGCAGGGTGTGGGTGGTGGGGATATGGGGCTGCAAGGGCCCCATCTTGCCCTGCTTCCCAACTTTCTGTGGCTGCGCTTGCAGGAGAAGCAGGAGCAGAGGAGACAACGTGGGCATGTTGGGAATTAATGGGAACTGCAGGACTGGGCTGCAAGCAGTGGGGATGGAAACCCCGTATTTATTCCTCATTGCTCATACTTGGATTAAGGGGGCTTTGCAAAGCAAATTGTAGGAGGGCAGCAACACACCGCAGAGCAGCTGGAATGTTCTGGTTTGGTTTCAGCCCTGTTTTACGTTTCCCAGGTAAAATCTAAAGTCAATTTCGCAGCAGAAAATCCATTTTTCTCCCCTCGTCTCTTAAATGAAATGGCTGAAACCAACTGGATTTCACACACACACACAAACAAACAAACAAAAAAGGCCACTTCATTTTTCTCTCCAACAGGCGTTCTGGAGGAAAAGCTTCAGCAGGGATTTGGGAGCCAAAGGACGCCTGGCCCCAGTGCCTGGGGCAGCTCTGGGGGAGGGGGAGACACTACTGCTGCCTGGGCCCAGCTGTGTCACTGTGGGCTGCACTGCAGCACAAGCAGTGCTCCCAAGGGCTGTGCCCAGCAGTGCACAGGGTGTGGATTCTCTGGTACCTCGTAGGGTGCTGGGTTCATTAGGTTTCCTCCTGTAGGAGCTTCTCCCTCCCCCTTCTGCCTATTTTATAGGAACTAATGGGAACGCCTCAGCTCGGCGACCTCTACCCTGTTGCCTAATTTGGGTGAAGTCAGCCAGCAGATTCACAGGATGGAGGGGCACGCTTCCAAGCAAGAAGCACACGTAACATCTCATCTGAGCGTGCTTGTCAATGCTCCATCCATCTGATTTAAACCTTGACTGTTCTCCTGACACATTCCGAGTCCCACATCCCTCCTGCCCCACTTCCCACCCCCCCTCTCCGTGTGCCCCCTGTCCCTCCCCCCCATCCTCATACCCAGGATGGTCCCTGCGGGTGGGTGGTCATAGGAGGCTGCAGACCACGCTGGCATCCTCCGAGTGGTCACAGTTGTGGACGTCCCAGCGGATGTGGGAGCAGCGCAGCAGTGAGGGCTCGCTGCCCTTGCACTTGAGGTTGTCGAGGAAGATGTAACCGGTGCCGGGGCCGTAGCGTGCTTCTCCCCACGCTGCCACAGCGTGCCCACAGCCCAGCTGCCTGCACACCACCTTGGCATCCCGCAGGTCCCAGGCATCGTCACACACCGTGCCCCACTGGGACAGGTAGAACATCTCCACGCGGCCCTCGCACCGGTGGCTGCCGTTCACCAGGCGCAAGAACCCTGTGGTGGGACATTGGGATGGGGTGGAGGAGAACGGGCTCACCCCAGCCAGGCTGGGCCAGGGAGTGCCTCGCTTCTCCCAGCTGCATCCAAACCACCTCTGTGCCAGCGCCCATAGGATGCTCACCATCCTCCAGATGGGTCGGGGCTGACGTGGTGGTGGCAGCGGTGGCTTCTTGGAAGTGGTCTCCTGAGTCATCAGCACCTGATGAGGCAGGGCAAGGTGGGAGGAAGATGATTTGGGGACATCCTGTGCTCCCCAGGACCAGCTCAGAGTCCCTGTGCATGTGGCATGGGGCTGGCAGAGAAGAAGAAGCAGCACCCATGTCTTCTTCACCCAGCCACAGCACTGCAGTGCTGCTGTCCTCCCTGAGTCCGAGTCACAGAACATCCCAAGGTGGAAGAGACCCACAGGGTTCACAGAACCATACAACTGCAGAGCCACTGAGGCTGGAAGAGACCTCCAAGATCCCCAAGTCCAACCCCAACCCACCCCACCATGCCACATCTCCATAGAGCACCTCAAGGGATGGTGACCCCACCACCGCCCCGGGCAGCAGCGCCAATTCAGCACCACTCTTTGGAGATGAAATTCTTCCTAATATACAACCTGAGATCACTGAGTCCAGCTCATGGCTCTACACAGGACCCCCCCAGGTCCTATGTGTGTGAGGGAGGTAGCCCAATGGGTATGGGGAAAAGCCACTGTGGGGATGAGAGGAGTCATGGGGAGATGGGGGAGCCCCCTGGGCACGTGAGGGAGCCTGGGAATGAGGAAGGAGCACCTCTAGGTAGGGGGTGCAGGTCCTGGGGAGGTGGCCCAGGTCCCTGAGCTCCAGGCTGTGCCCACTGCCTTTGGGGGGCAGAACCTTTCCCTAACCACTGTGCAAAACGGACCCCATGCCAGAACCTGGGCCAGCAACCCCATCCATCCTCCTGGGACCGCACTCCAGTCCTACATCCCACCCCCGCCCAGCGAGACGGACAGGAGGGGCGATGCTCAGACCACGCACCTCGGCACACCACGCCCGCGTCCTCGTGATGGCCGCAGTTGTGTTGCCCCCAGCCCAGGTGGAAGCAGTCGGCCAGGCGCATCTCGTGCCCGTCGCACCCCACGTTATCCAGCAGCACGGGCCCGCTGCCGTACCCGAAGGAACCCAGGACGGTGGCGGAGACGGCGGGCCCGCAGCCCAGCTGCCGGCACACCACCTGCGCGTCGGGGAAGTCCCAGTCGTCGTCGCACACCGTGCCCCACGTCCCGCCGTGCCGCACCTCCACCCGACCGCGGCAGCTCCCGTTGCCGTTCGCCAACCGCACGCCGCCACCTGCGGGTGGGCGCCCGCACAGCCACTGCGGGAAACGGGAGGGGGGGGAAGGGAAGGGGAGGAGGCGGGGGGAAGGGTGGAAAAAGGGGTGGGGAGCGGCTGGGGGAGTCCCTGGGAGGGTGGGGAGAGGCTCGGGGATGGAGGGGGGAGCGCCGGGTGGAGGCGCTGGGAGGATGGGAGGAGCGCCCTGAGAGCGTGGGGGAAGGATGGGGAGATACGGGGAGGTCCCCGTAGGGATCCCGTCGTAAGGGGAGCCCTTTGGAGGCGTGGGAGGAGCCGCGGAAATGAGGGAGGCAGCCCAATGGGTGTGGGGTAAAGGCACTGCGAGGATGAGGGGAGTCGTGGGGAGATGGGGAGATCCCTCCGGGCATGTGGGGGAGCTCTGGGAATGAGGAAGGATCACCTCTAGGTAGGGGGTGCAGGTCCTGGGGAGATGGGGGAAGGATGGAGAGATGGGGAGAGCCCCTGGGGGGATGGGGGGAGCCCTGAGAGGATGAAAGGAGACTCCTAGGGACGTTCGGGGAGCCATGGGAATGAAGGAGTATCCCTATGAGTGTGTAGTGAAACCTCTGGGATCATGGGAGGAGTCATGGGGAGATGGGGGGAGACCCTGGGAGAAGTGGACACACATGTGGGGTGATCCCAGGGGCTGTGGGGCAGGCCCTCCCCCCGGGGAGATGGAGTCATGTTCCCAGGGCAGTGAGGGAGCTGGGACAGGAGGACCTTGGGCTGGGGGCTGTGCCAGACTGATGGCAGCCACATGCTTACTTTCCAGCTCAGCAGTGATGAGCACAGTGGTGATCACCTCGGTCGCAGGCGAGGGCTGCTCGTGGCCGTCTGTCACTGCTGAGACATGGGGACACATGGGTGCTTGGTGCCTGGCCCCAGCACCCACTGCCCCTGCTCTGAGCCACAGGCAGCACCACGGTGGCCCCATGGCAAAATCCCTTGATGGTGAGGAAGAGGCTCTTGGGACTTGCCATAGGGAAGATCACCCAAGAGAGCCCCAGAGCCTCACCAAGGTGCACCTGGACCCATGTGAGTGGCTGGCCATGGAAAGGGACAGCCCAGAGAGCTGCCAGTCCTCAGAGCCCTCCCTGCTGCGGCACTGGTTGCTGCCAACACCATACCTGTGGCTGTGGCAGTGAGCATTTCTTCATGGTCCAGGGCCGTGGAGGTGGTGAAGGATGTGATGGTGGATGTGTCCAGACCTGCAGGGAGACAGAAGGACAGGGGTAACAGGCAGGGAGAAGCTGCAAAGCACATAACCCTCTAGCTGTGACACCAGGATGCAGAGTGGAGTGGTGTGAGGAAGGAGATGGAGATGGTGGAGGAGAGGGAGATGATGGACATGGAGATGCAGATGATGGACTGTGGGAATAGAAGAAAAACTGTTCAGAGCAGCAGCTGTGGAGCAAGACAAACAGCATGAGAACCAAGGACACCTCTAGAAGAATGAACGTCTCGCGGCTCTGACTGGATAGTGGTTGAAGAGTGTTTGTAGAATGCTCTGTTGACACGTGAAGGTGGGTGGGAAAGTTGTAGGGGTGGATGGGAGAGCCAGAAAAAGAAAATTTGTGAAGGTATGTAAGTGATGTGAGAACTTGTTATAAACAATTTGGGTCCTACACATCTGAGTCCGTGCAGCAGATGCTGCAAAGGACTTCCTCCATTCGTACTGCCCACATCCTGTAGGTGGAGGTTCTCCAGCCCTATGCAAGTGTTACAAGGGCTTTTTTGAAGCTGGATACATCAAATATTCACCAGCTGTGCTTGAGCAGCAGAGGCAGGGTGTGAGCAGCCAGCCTCACCACCAGGCCCAAAGCTGCATTCCCTGAGTCCTGCCCCATCTGATGGGCACTGAGTGCTGCCACCCAGCCCCAGCACAGGATAGCCTGTGTCTGGGAAGGAAAGGAGCATCCTTAGAAAACTAGCCCTTCCTCTCCATCAGCAGCTTTGTTAGCAAATAGCAGAAAAGAAAAGAACCATAACTTCTTGCTCCACTCATTATCCAACATAACAAGGGAGTTCAAGGGAATTATTAACAATATAAATGGTAATCAGTGGGTAATGGCAGGGCTGGGCAATGCAGGGAGGAGGCAATCCCAGTGGCATGCCCAGCCCTGGCTGCACTCCCTCCCTCCTGTCCCGGCCAGGCAGGCTGTTTCTGTGCAAGGACGTCCCATCCTCGTGCCCCATTACCCATGCAGATGACCCCGGCATCCTCGTGGTGGCCGCAGTTGTGGATGCCCCAGCCGAGGCTGTAGCAGGCGGAGAGGATGGGCTCACTGCCCTCACAGTTGACGTTGTCCAGCAGGATGTGCCCCGTGCCGTAGCCGAAATAGGCGTTGCTTTTGTACTCCAGAGCCTGGCCGCAGCCCACCTGCTTGCAGACCACGCTGGCGTCGCTCAGCCCCCAGTCGTCGTCGCACACTGTGCCCCAGCTCCCCTGGTAGAAGATCTCCACGCGGCCCTGGCAGGCATCTGCCCCGCTCACCAGCCGGATGCGGCCGTCACCTGGAGGGTGACAGATGGGGGACAAGTGTCTTGCTGTCCCTTCAAGGTCACCGGCCCACAGAAGTGGGATCTGGATGTGCTTACGGTGGTGAAACTGCCCAAGTTTCTGGAAGAGGATCTGCTTTAGGGCAGCACAATTTATGGGATCCTGCAAGAATATCTGAACCAGGATATGACCATGAAGGTGGAGGTTCTGGGGGTCTTCTCTTGGCCAGCCCAGCAAGGCTGTTTGGTGGAGGGGAAACACTGAGATGGTGGGTGAGATGATGGGCGATGGTGGAGGATGGGTGATGGGAGGTGGGTGATGGGTGATAGGATGTGGGCGCTGCTCTCTGCCCGCCCCTTGGAGAGCTCCCACCCAGGTCAGGCCATGAGCAGCTCACCTTCCCCATTCTGCACCGAGGCTGTAGCAGTCCTGCTGGTCGGTCCTTCGCTTGCTGATGTGGGGGAGAGCTCTAGAAAGGGAATGAGAGATGGCATCAATTTCTGCCTGCAGAAACCCTCCCAGAAGCGAGCTGTAACCAGGGTCCCTGCTGTGACTATATACTTAATACAAACAATACTATTCTGCCAGCCGCATGCTGGCCCTGAGGGAATCAAGCCTTATTACCATTGCAGACCACAGCCACGTCCTCGTAGTGGTAGCAGTTGTGGATGCCCCATCCGTGGCTCCAGCACTCGCTCAGTGCCGCCTCCTGGCCCTTGCAGTCCACGTTGTCCAAGAAGATGGGCCCGCTCCCCTGCCCGAAGGTCATGGGTGCTGGCAGGGCGATGGCATGGCCGCAGCCCAGCTGCCGACACACAACGTTGGCATCTACGATGTCCCAGTCATCGTCACACACTGTGCCCCACGAGCCGTTGTAGAGGATCTCCACGCGGCCCTGGCACCGGCTGGGCCCGTTGGCCAGGCGCAGTTCTGCAAGGACGGCCCAGCGCAGAGCTTCAGTGGGCAGCTGGGAGGGCAGCACCCAGCGTCCAATGGACCCACAGCCTTCGGAGGGCCTGGGGCCATTCTGCACCAAATCTCTGCTCTCTGGACCAAATGGGTGACTCCTGGCTACGGCAAGCTGTTGGCTTTCTGCCCTCGTGTTAGTTAACACCACGTCAGCTTGATGGTGGCCTTGGTGACAGGTGGTGGATGCTGCTCATGGGTTGGAAGCAGTGGACATGGACATCCCACACAGCTTTATGTCACTGTACTGGGTGCAATGTCACCTTGTCATCTGCGTTATCAGGCATAGGAGATAAGCCATCCATGGGACAACACAGGTGAGAAGGTGCGATCATCTCATAGAATGACGGAATCGCTGAGGTTGGAGAAGACCTCTCAGATCCCCACATCCAACCCCAGCCCACCGTGCCTGCTGACCACAGCCCTCAGTGCCACATCTCCATGGTTCTGGAGCACCTCTATGGCTGGGGGCTACCCCACCTCCCTGGGCAGCTGTGCCACTGCAGCAATGCTATTTCTGAGAAGAAATATTTCCTAATATCCAACCAGAGCCTCCCCTGGTGCAACACAAGACCATCGCCTCTCATCCTATTGCTGTTACCTGGGAGCAGAGACTGCCCCCTCCCTAACCCCCCCCCCCGGCTATGACCATGTCCCAGTGAATATGGCCATAGTTGAAGTGGTGGCATAGAAATGCTTTCCCAAGCTGCTGGCAGCGTGGTGTAAGCAGCCTCAAGGGGATCGTTCAGGGGACGTGGTGAGTGACATGCAGCTAGCAGGGAGCAGCGAGGTTGCACTCGCCTGATCATAAGCAGAATAAGGATAATAAAGAATCTGTATTTCCTTTCTGTAAAAGAGGTTCAGCTTTCTGTTGCTGCTCTTTGTTCAGAACCAACACGCTGCCTCTCTGAGGCATTTTTCAACAGCAAAACCTGGAGAAGAGAGACTCGGAGAGAAGAACCTCACCTGGGAACGGCGGCGGGGCGGGCTCGGAGGTTCCTGAAACAGAGAAGGCAGGGCTGGGTCCCACAGGATGCAAGGAAGGAGGTGGCAGGGACAGGGGAGCTGCAGCTCCCCCAAATCCTTGGATGGAATGTGATGGAGAGGTGCCAAGAGTGGCCATTAGCAGCTGAATGAAACCAAGCTGCTCTCCTGGCACGCGCCGAGGAGTTGCTAGCTTCCAGACAGAAGCAGCCTTTCATTCCTGCCTTTCCTCTCCTCCCTGCCATTGTTTGGCTGCCAGCAGCTTGCTTTATGAGCGCGGTGAGTGACAGCAGCAAGCCCCGGAAAAATGGTCCTGCCTGCCACGAGAGCCTGCTGGTGGTTCCCGATGGGAAACGCTGCTCTGGGCACCACTCAATGCAGTCTAAGTCTTTTTTTTTCTTTTTCCTTCTCTTTTTTTTTTTTTTTCCCCCCCCCCCCCCCCCCACACACACACTGCAGTCAGCATTTTGCAAGCCACATATTCCTATGTATCAATGCAGCTGATGGCATGCAGCCACCCATAGGGGGAAAATGAGCAATCCTGAAGTGGGGAGGGCTGTAGGGGGCTGCTGCAGGGCACCACACAGATCTGCCTCCTGCATTCACATTTGCCACACTGCAGTGGTGCAGGCACCTGGGTAACACCTGCTTCTGCAGCACTCTCAGCCAGAAAAAAACATACGATGCAGCCCCAAAAACATGGGGGGGGGGGGGGGCCTTAGGATGCTTGGCAGCAGTGGGAGCTGGGGTGTGAGATGGGGCAATGAAGCTGCTGTGTCCCTGCAGCCATCTCAGAATCCAACAGGGAAGACCAAAGGCTGCTAGCCTTTCTGGAACAGTGATTTATTCTGGCTTGTATGGATTTTTAGCACTTTTAAACCATTTTAACAAGCAGCAGATAAGAAGGACATTGTTAAATATTCAATATCCATCACCCGTTAGTCAGAATCAAAGCTCTGAAGTATTTATTTCAGAGCATCCTCCAGCAAAGTCAAGAGAGACCTGAAAGATATGCACAGTGTGTCCACACTAATGAGGAAAGCCATCCTGGAGAACAGAGCTCCTGGCTCCCTCTGATCCAGCTCACAAAGCCCAGAGAACAAAGGGAACCGCCTTGAGGTAAACACAGCCCCTTTCAAGTCACATCTCTGAATAAAACCACCAAAATAGGACAAATCGCCCTCTGATAGGACTTAGCCGTGTCTGTTCATGAAGAGAAACAGCAGAGCTCACCAGTGGGGCCGAGGAGGAGAAGGAGGAGGAGCAGGGAGGAAGGCAGTGCCCCACATGACATACAGGGACCAGCGCTCATCGCTGCTCTGGGGTCCTCTTGCTGTCCCTGCAACATGCAGACACCAGCATCAGCCTTTGGGCAGCGATCACGTCAAAATACGGCTCCAGTTGGGATCAGCTGAGAACAAGAGGTGTTTTTTGCGTAGTGAGATGGGGGTCACTTTGGACCTTTAGGACTGGGCTTCTGCTGAGGCACAGGGCAGCAGGAGAGATCTTGCCCAGCATGAAAGCCCAAAGGTTGCGTCATGGTGCCACCACCCACCCTTCTGGAGATGCCTCCAAAGCTGTGAGAAGCATGCTGTCCTCATCCAGGTGGAGTTCATCCCTCAGGAGGAGCTGGGAATGGGCTCCCCACCCACACAGGCACTTCCCAAATCACCAAGCAAACCTAGATCTCCAGCAAGCCACACCATGCAGCTGTCTTTTGGGATGTGATGGTGATTCCCATTGTGCAGAAAGTCACAGCCCACATTCTGGGAGGCTCCCATCACCCTAGCTGAGCTGCCAGCACCATGGCTCCTCCTGTGATGCTGTTGCCAGGCTGTCACTGTGCTGTCACCCATGGCCAGCCCTCTCCATCACAGAACTTCTCTACAAAGGATGAGTCCCAGCTCCCACCCCACTCCTGCACTAACATGACCATGGTACCTCCCACCCCCGCGGGAACACCTATGGGACCCCAAGACCTGCACTGCTCCCAGTCCTTGGGAAAAAAGAGGCATTCGTGTGGGAACACAGGTCTGGTACCACAGCATCACATCATTCGTCCGTGGGAGGAGATGCAAACTCCATGGGGACGAGATGGAAAGCAAGCATGGAGAAAACGAGGAAAAGATTAAAGATAATAAGATGCAATTTCCCCATGATTTGCTGCTCTCTTCACCAGCTGCTGCTGGAATGGTGAACATCTGGCTCTGCTGGATTCTTACTGACAGCACAGGGTGGTGACAGCACTGCTTCCATCACCCGGGCATGGCATGGGAGAGCTCAGCCCACCCTTGGGCTGCAGGACTCAGCCCCTTCCCATGGAGCCGCCATGCAGGATGCAGCCCCTGCACATCCCTGTTCTTGCCATGGGGCTGCTGCCGGCCCGGTGCTCAGAGGAGATCCTCCAGCAGACAATCAGCTCAGTTACGGGGCTCGGAAATCAATCTAGTCCCTAACATTGCATTTCTCAATACTCCATTCATGCTTATTCTGCTCCGAATAATGTCGCCTTTTGTCCCGCCAGCCCTCCCCAATCTCTGGCAGAGAGTGGCTGACAGACGGCCGGCACACTGCCGTGGGCCTGCAGCCCCTTAGCATGCTGCCTGCACCAGCCCTGGTGTGGGGGAGCATCCCTCCTGCATCCATGCTACATCCATCCCATATGCATCCCACATCCATCCCACATCCACCCTGTATCCATCCCATACCCACTCTGCATCCACCTTGCATCCATCCCACATCAGTCCCGCATCCATCCTGCATCCATCTCATCTCTGCTCTGCATTCACCCTGCATCCATCCCATAACCATCTCACATCCATCCCATATCCTTTCTGCATCCATCCCACATGTATTCCACACCCATCCCATATCCATTCCACACACATCCTGCATCTACCCTGCATCCATCTCACATTTGTCCTTCATCCATCCTGCATCCACCCCACATTTATCCCACATCCATCCCCTATCCATCCCACATGCACTCTGTATCCATCCTGCCTCCCGCTCCCGTCCCAGCACTCCATAAAGCATTAATCACTGAGATGCTGAGCATAGTCCCTGCTATACCTATAAAGGTGAACCCCTACTTTTCCTCCCACAGAAAGTCCCAGCTCTGTTTTCACCCCAAAGAAGGCAGATCTCAGCAAATAAGCTGTGAAAGCTCCTTCCTTCAATCTGGACATGAGAGAGATTTGGTGCAGCCTGGACTGACCCTGTTGCAAAAGCAGTGTTTTCCATCAATCCACGTACCTGTCTGCTGTTTTCTTTCCAGTATAAAGATGATGTATTTAAACCCAGAAATAAATATTCTCCTTTGTAGTCAAGAAAACTGCTGGCTGGTTAGTTAAAAAAAGAAATGAAAATTAGTCGATGCAATAAATACTACAGTGGGGATAAAGGAGGAAAAAAAAGCTAACAAGGAGGAGAAGAGGCTTCCATTCATCTGCCGAGCAGCTTCTGGCTTCATCCTGTGTCACCCTGCAGGCTCAGGGCTGCGGGGCAGGACGGCTGCCCGGCCCCATCGCGGGGTGCCTGGGCACAGGGATGGCTGAGAGGGAGGAGGAGAAGGAGAGGAAGAGGAGAGCAAGGAGAGCAAGGGGCCACTCAGCGGGGCATGGCGGTGGGACTGGCTCAGGTTTCAGGGCAGCTGGCACTGGGAGCACTGTGACTCCCCAGGGCTGGCTGAGGGCATTCCGGCTTTGCTTTCCTCCTCCTGCACTGCCAGGATCTGTCCCACTGACACGGGCAGGACATCACCCTAAACCCACAGTGCTCTCCGCGTGCTGCTGGGTATCCCCAGCACGTCCATGCTGCACGCAGTGCACAGGGCATCAGCGGTACCTGCGCTCTGCTTTTCTGAGCATAGCATCAAGGAGTTGCTCTCTAGGGTGTCCAAAAGCATGAGATGGGGATTATTGGTGTTCACCCACCTCCCCTTCATAGGAAACCCTTCTGCTTCACTCTATGTGTTACACTCTCTGGGCTTGCAATGAAGTGTGTTTAACCACAAGCCTGGCAATAAAAGTGAAAGAAAATTTGAAAGCAATTGGGTAGGAGGAACATATAAAATGTGGTGGTTTCCTGCTCTTGCAAAGCTTCAGCAGCGTGTGCACTGGGGTGTGCTGTTGGCTCTGATAAGCTGATCCCAGGGGCAGTGAGGTTCCTATCCTGCCCCTCCTGAAGAGGTGCCCATGCCCACAAGTGCTGGGATTTGGGGTTTTCCTTGGCACAAAGCTGGCTTCAAAACAGCTGTCACTGACGGCACCATCACCCATCTGCAGGCACTGCCTTCTGTGGGTTCGGTAATTAGCAATTA